ACCTGGTGGTGAAGGTACGTCATGTAGATGCCCATGTACCCAAAAGTCGGGCCACTGAGGAACACCAGAACAACCAACAAGTGGATAAAGCGGCTAAGATTGAAGTGGCTCAGATGGACTTAGATTGGCAACATAAAGGTGAATTATTTTTGGCCCGGTGGGCCCATGACACTTCAGGCCATCAGGGCAGAGATGCAACATATAGATGGGCTCGTGATCGAGGGGTGGACTTAACAATGGACACTATTGCCCAGGTTATTCATGAGTGTGAAACATGTGCTGCAATTAAACAAGCCAAGCGGTTAAAGCCTCTTTGGTATGGAGGACGATGGTTGAAGTATAAATATGGGGAGGCCTGGCAGATTGACTATATCACACTGCCACCAACCCGCCAAGGCAAGCGCCATGTGCTTACCATGGTGGAAACAACCACCGGGTGGCTGGAAACACATGCTGTGCCCCATGCCACTGCCCGGAACACTATCCTGGGCCTTGAGAAACAGATTTTGTGGCGACACGGCACCCCAGAGAGAATTGAGTCAGACAATGGGACTCATTCCGAAATAACCTTATAGATATTTGGGCCAAAGAGCATGGCATTGAGTGGGTATATCACATCCCCTACCATGCACCAGCCTCTGGGAAAATCGAATGGTACAACGGGCTGTTAAAAACTACACTGAGAGCAATGGGTGGGGGAACTTTCAAGCATTGGGATACACATTTACCAAGGGCCACCTGGTTGGTCAACACCAGAGGATCCACCAACAGGGCCGGCCCAGCCCAGTCAGAACTTTTACATATTGTAGAGGGGGACAAAGTTCCCGTGGTGCATATGAAGAATTTGCTGGGGAAGACAGTCTGGGTTATTCCCGCTTCAGGTAAAGGCAAACCCACTCGTGGGATTGCTTTTGCTCAGGGACCTGGATATACTTGGTGGGTAATGCGGGAAGATGGGGAAGTCCGATGTATACCTCAAGGGGATTTGATTTTAGGGGAAAACAGCCAGTGAACTCAATTGTATGCCGTTGCCTGCTGTGTAATGCTTTTATAGCCCATCAACTAGATGTCTCCAGGTCACCAGAGACTGGCCCTGACTTCCCTCCAGCCATCATCCCAACAGAGAATGAACTTTGAACATCATGGACCGAATGGACTCGGCAGCATTATAGGGATTGGTCCATGCACTAAGAAAATGATCTTTTCCTCTTGGTCTGTATGTATATGGATGTATATATATGGGAGAGCGATGGTGTACTGAAAATGTGGGATCTGAGCACGACGTGAATGGTATGGAATAAGGGGTGGATAATGTCCTGGGTTCAGCAGTAGCAGTCATGTTTGTTTTTTTTTTCCTTTGTGCTAGCTGGTGCAGTGCTGTGTTTTGACTTCCAGCCTGAGAACAGTGTTGGTGAAGTCAATGTTTTCAGTTGTTGCTAAGTGATGTTTACCCTGACCAAGGACTTTGTGAGGCTCATGCTCTGCCAGGGAGGAGGGGAAGCCGGGAGGAAGCAGAGATGGGACGCCTGACTCGGGCTAGCCAGGGAGGTATTCCATACCACAGCATGTCATGGCCGGGGTGGGGGGTGACTGGGAGTTACCCGGAAGGACACGGGGCTTCCGGGTGGAACTCGTCTTCTTGGCCGGTGGTATCGTATTCTCTTCCCTTGTTATTTTCCCTTATCATTGTTGTAGTTGATAGTTGCGGTGGTGATTTGTGTACATTGGTTGCTGGACTGTTCTTGTCTCAACCCGTGGGAGTTGCACTCTTTCGATCCTCCTCCCCGTTCCTCCGGGAGTGGGGGAGAACCCCGGTGGGGGGGGGGGACACGGACCTCGATTGTTGTCAGCTCGGCACCACTCACTGGGTGTGAGTGAACAAGTTACCTGACTGGGTTTAAACCACAACAGGGCTGAAAGGTTAACTTCTGTCTGCAAAATGAAAAAAGATGAAGGTCTTGAAGCATGTTTCAGCAGTAAAACTTAAACTGATGTAACAACTGATACTGGGGAATCACTGCAAATGTGTATTGTGAACGCTGACAGATCCACTTAAACCTAACTTCCACCTTCTTTTTTTGTACCAGTATCTATCAATCCAAACCAAAATTTAGTCAGTATAAAAGGATATTCACAGGTAGATTTACACAGATTATCTAACCATGTGACTTAAAATTGGCTTGGTTAAACTCACGTAGGTTTTGAGGCTAGAACAGGCGTAAGTTGCTAGTATGATCCTTTCAACTGCCAGAGTAGAAAAATTATATATTCTAAAGAATACTAATCATTTAAAAGAATTCTAAAATTATTCTAAGTGAAAATTATCATCTCTTTGGGAGATGAAAGTTATGGAGGGAAGATTCATTAAAATGCATCATTAGGTACAGGAAATACAAAAGACTGATCATAAAGCAGTACAAACTAAAACCCTGAACTACTGAAGGTATTCCTGAAGGATTATCCCAGAGTCTTAAAAAGGTGATTTGGATTTGATCAAGAGATTTTAAACCAGGGAAGAAAATTAGTAAAAATTAAGCTGCAGTTATGCCAATGGGAGCTCGGTAACTGAAGTGTTGTAAGAACTTTGTTCTACATTTATAATATACAATAAAACTTGCATATTGGCATTCAGGATGAAAGCAGTACATATGCAACCTTAACTTATATTTATCTGCTTTTCTGTAATTTCAGAGCACGTAGGGTGGTCTTCCCCCAACCTTCCCTCAATCCATCAGTTCCCTCCTACTCAAGTCAGCACCAAAAGTTCAATTCCATTTCTTTTCCTTTGAGAAGTTTAGGGCAAAAGAGATGATGAAAAGAAGCGGCACTGCTTTTTGTACTTCAGTGCATACCCATGTTGCCATGCTATTACCCTTCTCTTTCTTCTCATGCATTCCCTGTTACCTAGCTTTCTAGCACTTGATGGCCATCTGTGCCATCATGAATGCAGCTCTTAGGACGAGTATACATTCTTGTTTTTTAAGATGCCTACCATATTCTAAGTGCTTATAAAAATATGAATGATTATATTGTACAGCCATACCTGGCTACCTTATCTTAAATCCTTTTCACCTGTGGGCCACAGTGTAAGTCTGAGAAGTTAGCAGGGAGCTTAATAAGTAACAGGATTCATAATTAAAATAGCAATTTCCATTAGTTTCTCAGAAATTAATTTGACCGATTCACAACATAACACTGCCTGTCAGCCAGCTGAAGTAAGTACAGTCATTAGTTCAGCTGTTTACAGGGCTGTAATTTCACTCTATGCTCAGCTGAAAACATGTTTGACCATTAGGCTAAGACAAAGCCTGCTGAAGTTAGTTCAGACAACAGCAGTTCCGGAAGAGGGACTGCAAATAAAGTAGATGTAATTTCCCAGGCTAAATGAAATACTAGAAAGATATTTGGGACTGGCAGGATAAATCCATTTCTTATTCATAGCAGATTACTGCTGATTTTTATCTGCAGTTTTTACCTACTAGAGTAACAATGGTGCAGTTACATAGAGCAAGGTCTCTAGACAGTTTAGCCAATCCTGTAGATTTTTTCACTGGCAATATTACTGCCTATTACATTCTGTGGGTTTAGCAACCACTTTTCTAAAACTTCTGTTTGACCAGTTTGAATTTATTCATTTAATCTTGCAGATTAATTTCTGCAGGACGTCTTTACATAAAGGCTTCTTTTTAAGCAGCTAAACTCAAGTCCGTGTTGTTGTCTGCATCACAGAAGTAAAAATCACTGCGTATCTCTTAGATTCCCCAGTACTTAGCAATACGGGTTGGATCCTACCCCAGGTTATCATTCTCAAGGTACTCTTCCCTTGAGGCTGTGGTGTAGAAGACAGAAGGCTCTGCACATACTGGAAGCAAGTCTGATGAAATAAGGTGAGAATTGGGCGATTAAGCCTTCTGTTTAAACTCTTGTAGGACTATCTCACAAGACCTTCACACTCCTACATCCCCATTAGATGAAAACGAACTGATCTGAGTTTATCCTTCTTTCTTTGTAACACAGACTTCAAAAAGAGCTCAGTCAGCATGCAACATCATCTCTGTACCACATCAGTAACACAGCAGCTCTTTACTTTCCCCGGGCTTACATGTATCTATCCTGCTCCAAAGCAGGCTTCTTTAAGTGCCATTTTGCCATCAGGTTCTGACAGTCCTGCTCACCCACATGCACACCAGCTGGGACCAAGGTCACAATCAGGTAGGACTACGGCAGGTAGGACAAGGTCAGTCGGTGATCCTGGCACTGTCTCTGTCACAGCCCTTACAAACCTCTACAAAGTACATGCTCATTTGGATCGAGCTCTGACAGTACATGTCTGGATGTTACAGAACTGCTTCTTCACAGTGTGTTTCACTCGATAGAGACACGCTGTGTTTGATTTAAATGTTTTTTTTCCTTATCCTCAGCCAAGAGATGCTCACTCTCTCTTTTGTTTAATATTCTGTCTTAATGAGACTATTTCTATTTTTCATTAAAAGTGAGCAATTTCATCCTGCTGCAGAGTTGTCCTTTTCTTTTACATTCATATATTAAGTCTAATTTGCAAGTATATATAAAAATTCCTTGGGGATGAAAATCAGTCTTATCTTAAACTACACAGTACACTCCACATATATTTTTCCAAGAATCGGTGTGTACTTCCCAATCCATTAATTATTAATAGGCTTACCATCTGTATTCATCTTTAAATTCCATCAATTAATAGACTCAAGCCTGGAAACATTGTGGGTACAGCTTTCATAATGTGCAAAATCTGATAAGCAATTCATTTTACAGTGAGGAATTTAACCCAATACCAAAGAGATTGTAAGAACAGATTTGTTGCAAAGACTTAAAATAAATTGATTTAGTTGGATGAGACAACTTTCACAGGCATTCATTGAAACACTAAACTTTACTAGCTGCAGAGAGTTAACAAATGTGCTACAAAGCTCTTCAACTCCCACACAAGCTGACTCACACAAGATAACAAAACTATTAGTTCTTGAAAGAACTCTATATTTTTCTTTATTGTTCTAATGACTTTCCCAGTTTTGAGGGGCACAATTTCAGAACTGTACACTACAGAGAAAGTGATATTCAGAGATAGATGGGTGACCAGGTTATAAATCAAGGGAAAGAGTCCTGGTGACAAGAGCTTTATGTCTCCATCCCAGCTGCAAAATCCATCTGAAATGCAGTAATTTGTCCAGCTGCATCCAGTATTTTTCCCACTAGCTAGCAGCCCATTCCAAACCTAGCACAATTGTTGTTCAGTTCCTTCTTTTCACTGCATCCCTCTCATCTCATCTTTCTTTTTTTGTTGCTCTTATTTCAGAACTTGTGCCACATGTCTTCAGTTAATTTGCCCACACTCCTCATTTATTGGTCCAAATGTCATTTTCTGTGACTCACATGTTTTCTTCTAATACTTTTTATCTCAGTTCCTCCACAGTGAAACTTTTTCATTTCTGCTCGATCTGTACAGTCCTGTCAAACACAAATATGAAGTTTGTGATTTGTAAACGTCAAATTTAGATCAGATATGTCTTTGGTTTAATTTTGATTTTCTATTTCCATTGGTACAGTTACTTCTAGGATCATTATTTCTTTGTGCAATGGATCTGAATATATTGTTACTAAAAGTAGTGACTTGCAGAGCAAGTAACACAAGTGTAACCTTGTGTTTTCCTTCTATTTTGCCTAACTTGGGTCCAAATACAGATAAGTAACAAAAACAAGATCACAAAATGCCTTGGTGTCCTGGTCTTTCTCTGGAAATTTGGGTTTGGGCAAAGAGGAGGCACACACAGCAGCTCCTTCACCCTGACATCCCCTGTTTTTGCTGAGTGAAAGCCAGACCACGAGTCAGAATTACCTGTGACCTGAACCATCAGGGACTATCACTGCAGAGGTGCTGCTGCACCACACACATCGATTTGTTTATACATAGCGCTAAGAAAATAAGCCAAATTATTGAACCGTATGAGATGGATTAAGTCTTGTACAGGTAGGTCCCTGAGAAAGTCAGGAACGCCAAATAGCAGCCAAGAATAAAAATGCTTACAACAGAAAGCCTGCTGTGTTTATGACAGGAAGGACAAAAAACTGCTCAAGCTGAGAGAGGTTTGTGGGAAAACATTGTCAGACTGGAAAGGGGGCTCCATAAAAGAGCTGATCAGAGGAACCCAGGTGATACCTGATGAGAAGCAGAAATTCCCCAGTTTGGGTTGGAACAGACCTTAGAAATCACCTAGTTCCTATCCACCTGCCAGAGCTGATGGTATATCTGAAAAGAAGTAAGGGAAGGAAGAAAGAGAAGATCAAGTTTGGATTAAGGTTAAATTTGAACTGGATGTGGTTATGGAGAAATTGCAGAAGGGGAGGGAGGGTATGCAGTGGTTTTGGATAAACCTTGTCATCAAGAATTGGAATTCTTGGATCAGTCTTTAAAAGGCTTAAGAGAAACAAACAAAACTCCATGCTGATCTGTACACTGATATATAGAAATAAGATTAACTGCAACTACAAGTTGATCTATTGATTAGATGCCACCAGATGATGAACTGCGAGGTAATGGCAAGCTATTACCCATTTCAGTCTAGGAGCGGTGGAGTAAATCAATACATAGCAGATATCTGACTTTTTTTTGATGGTTCTGGGGGAGGAAAACCTGCAAGTTGCTACATTCTTTTGGGTATGCACAGTACAGATATGTACCTTAGGAGCTACATTTTGCTCTTAGATTTCATGGAACAATTACATGTTTTCTCTCAGCTGACTTCAGTGGACTAACTGGACCATCATTATGACAGCCTTACTCCCAGTAGTACCAGAAGCTTCATTGCTCAAGCTACATAATGTATTTCTGCCTGAGAGGTAAAAAGAGGGAAGTCTGTACAGGAGATGCAGATAATACCTGGAACTTTTCCATGGCTGGAACATCCAGCTTAAGTCAACTGTGGAATTCTCGTTAAAATTCTGGAACATGTGGCTTTCATCCTGTCCCTTATGCAGAGATTAGACCTTGCTGCCCCTTAAACTTAATTAATTTTGACAATGTTTATGCCATTATTTCTAGAAGGTGGAAGAAGAATATTTTTGCAGTTGTCATTTTGAATATTTGCAGAGTTATAGCACTCTCAAGTTGAAAACCCAAATTGTAGAATCAGCAATATCAGTGACCAGATGTCATATACTTCAGTGCTGGGATAAGTATGATATTATTGTCTCTCCAGATTTAAAACCTCATTGAGATGACAAATATGAAAAGGAAACTATCAGTTCAAAATGCTATGGCTTCAGGTTAATACATTTCATTGGACTAAACAATGGAAAAACATGGAAATACTGCAGCAAGGCCAGTTAAGGGCCATCAGTATGACTGTGGCTGAAGAACAAGATGTACAAGGAAAGGATGAGAAACTTGGCTTTATTCCACCTGGAGAAAAGAAGGCTCAGTGGGGCATCTTACTTCTGTCTTCAGCTACTTGACAGAAGAAAACAGAGAAGCTAAATCTTCTCTTCTCAGAGGTGAATGGAGATGCAACCAAAGGCAACAGAGAGAATCTGGGACCTGCAAAATTCCTGTTAAATACTAGAAAAACCTCTTACACTACAAGGGCAGTCAAATACTAGACCAGGTTTCCATGAGGGGTTATGAGTCCTCCATATTTGGAATTGTTTGAAACTTGACTGGATGTGGCTCTGAGTAATCTGATCTAATTGGATCTGATGTCCATAAATTTGTCTAATCTATTTTGAACCTGCTGATACTGCCTCCACAGACTTTTGTAGCAAGAAAATCTAGCAGTCTTTGAAGTAAAAAAAGTATTGTTTCATCTTAAAACAGCCTCCTATTGGCTTCACCACACTTTCTAGTTTGGAGAATACTTCACCAAGTATTCCTAATACTGAGGAACTTGCCAAAAAAACCCAGTTCTGCATTCATCTTGTCCAACATCTCCACAGTTTCCTAGAGCTTAATCATAACCCACACAGCTTTCTTGTCTCTTGTTTGAAATATCTCAGCCTTTATAGTTTCTCCTCATAAGGCAGCTACTTTGTCCTCTTAATTATCTTAGCTGTCTTCTTTGTACCTTCTCCATCCTGTCTTTGATATGCAGAGACAAGAATGGCATTCAGAACCCAGGATGTGGATGCTACAAGGCATTATATAGTGATAAAATAACTTTCCCTATCTTATTCTTAATACCCTTTCTTATGTTTTCCAACATTTTGTCAGCTATTTGTGCTGTTGCACATAAATCCAATAAATAAATAAAATTACTTGGTTTAGTCATTAAACAAAATATTATTAAACCCATCATGATATTATCATGATATGCATTAATCTTTCTGAACTAAACTGCAAGCTTAGAACCATAGAATGGCCATGGGCAGGGACTCCTCCCACTCGACCAGGTTGCTCAAAGCCTCATCCAACTCGTCCTTGAACACTTAAAGGGATGGGGCAGCCACAGCTTCTCTGGGCAACCTGTGCCAGGGCCTCATCACCCTCATAGGGAAGAATTTTTTCCTAATCATAGACTGGTTTGGGTTGGAAAGGACATTAAGATCATCCAGTTCCAATCCCCTACCATGGGCAGGGACATCTTCCACTAGACCAGGTTGCTCCAAGGCCCATCCATATCTAATCTGAATCTACCCTCAGTCTTGATACCATCAAATAGTGTTGTGTTTTGTATATGTTTACAATTTCCTGCTAACAATGAACATGTCTTCTTTTTTATTATGAAATGTCCATGATAATCTTGAGCATCCTTCAGGACTGATATAGCAAGAATGAGAACAGCAAGTATAGTATTAAGTGTGAATTACTGTGCTTTGGGGCTAATAACAAGGATTTGTATTGCCAACTAGTTTACTAATACCAGAAGAAGAGAAAAAAAAAAAAAAGAGGTTTTTTTTAACTGATTATATTGTTGATCCTAATCAAAGTCGTCAAGCCTGGGGGTGATTTTGGTTATGACAAACCATGTAATTTAGGATTAATTGGATAATGCAAAAAGAGGATTGGCACTACTGCCATTGGTACTACTGCCAATGGTAAATCCTAACTTGGAATGCTGTGCTTGGTACCCATTTCCACACAAATTGAAAAAGATGCTGGGATGGTCTAAAAGAACAATTAGGAAAGAAAATAAAAAGAGTCAGAGAGCTCAATTATTAACCCAGCAAAACAAAGTCTCAGTTTGAGATATAATTCCTCTCTAGGAATATAAAAAGGGCAACATTATGGCTGGAAAGAGCTATATAATTCAAAGCAAAACACCAACACCAATGGCCATGAATAAATTTATATCAGTAATTGAAGACCAGAACCAGAAGAATGGGGGTAACAGATTGATACAGAGGCTGCTAATGTGCAGTCGCTTATTAAAAATTGCCCCCTTTCTTCAATATCATGCAGATTTCCTTGAACAGTTCCTGACAGAAACCACCTTCCTCAGCCAGGGACGGTCTAGCACCTTGAGCCACTTCTCTGTCATTAACAAGTTTAACAACCAAACAGAAGTTTCTGCTGGGAGTACTGGTTTTATAAAGAGGCCTTGGCAAACATTAAACCTCTAAAGTTCCAGAAACTCAATAGTGAGGAAAAAAATAAATTTCCCAAGAAGGTACAAAAGATTCAAAACAAGATGGAGGTTTTTAGCTTTAGAACTATGGATTTTGTCAATCTGCCAGACTGCTGCTGGCAAGTATGCATCTGCCTTGAACTTACTCCTCTCTTTCAAGGCGATGCTGTGGTAGAGGAATTCTGTTCAGCAACAGACCTGTTTGGTCTCAGCTGGAGAACTTTTTTTAACTGTTTTCAAATACCTGTTGGGAGAGTTCAGGGAGAAGGCACAAACACACACATGCAGAAAACCAGTTTTGGAAAGTATCCGCTTGTGAAAGGAGAGGAGCCTGCCCACCCTGGGGAGAGAATCTGACATCTACTCACAGATACTGAGCAACCAGGATGTCATGAAGAGAAAGGCTCTCATGCAGTCAGATGACTTAAGTTCTTCCTTCCAAGTGGAAAATGAGATGGTGAATTGCCGAATATGATTTCTCAGGAAGATGAAAGGCCATTTACAGAGGAAAAATCAAGGATCTGGTTCTAGCAGTTATCAAGCTAGAGACTCCATATATGCCAAAAATAATGCTAAAGTTCTCCTTTCCCTTTAATTGTTTTCATATTGTCTGAAAATATCATTTTTCAATCAAATATTTCACAGTTCAAAGACGGAAGGGAGCATAAAGTTTGCACTACCCCTCTCCTCATGCCTCCATGCTTATTCTGCAAACCACGGAGGGCTTTTAAAGGTAAATTTTGTTTCTGACACCTCATGATGATGTTACAAGAATGGTTTCTCACAGAAGATCCAGCGTTACTTCTTATTTCATTCACTTTGCTCTCCTGTTTTGGTGCCTCTCCTTGTTAGAAGCCATTGCAGCAATTGTGTTCACTGCAAAACTGCTTCATAATTTTTTCATCTCTCTGCCTGGTTTTTTTTGTACATACAGCAGTCCTAAGGAAAACCTGGGGAGGCAACTACTGACCTAGCCTATCAGTTAATGATTATGAAGTGGAAACATAACAAGATCAATCAATTTTGGAAAGCCCCATCTTCAATTTTTTCTTTATTCAATAGACGCTGTATTCATCCACTTCAACAAAAGATTCCAGATAGTACAACAAACTACGATTATAGATCACTTAAGTGCTTGAATTGTGTCTTTCTCCATGGTCTGAGCAGGAAATGATGATCACCCTACCGAGAAATTTCACAAAAATCCTTCTGTTGAGAAATATAACTTTTTTCTGAGAATGTGAAGAGGTTCCCATCAATCAGATAGTTCTGCCTCTTGGCAGCTTTTCAGAAGTTACCAGCATCAGTCAGTCAAAGTGTGATGAACTGGATGAGGGCAAGCCCTTCCACGGAAAGAAGAGAAAAGCTTGAGAACACATGTACATACCCTACAGGGAAGCTTTCAGATTAAGATCCGTTCTGACTCATTTCTGGTATCAGGTCAGTGTAAATTAATGATCACTTTGACTTTTCAAAAGAAGCCAAAATCTCTCTTAGCTGATTACTGAAGCTGTGCATAGCATATTATTAACCACATAAAGGCCTGATTCTGCCATTATCAGCAACCAGTCTTGCTGCTCCTCCTGCATCTCATAAAAGCCGTGGGGATTTTCCTGAAAAACTTAGAAGTCTACTACAGAGACTGACTCTCACAGGATCTGGATGTCTTAGGATCTCTGATCTATCAGGGAGCCAAGCCCAGGTGTGGGGTCTCTAGTCATACCTTCCCACTGTGGCAAAACTGTGACCAACACTAGTCATGCATCAGAAACTCAACAAAAAGCAAAACCTCAACTTTCAATTTCAAAGTTATCCTTTGCTCTTTTGCCTTCAAAAGAATTTTTGGGAGCTGGATGTATTTCCCTGACTGCTTTCAGCTGTAATTCAAACCACCAGCCTTCTTTTGCTACGCAGCATGCCTTCTCTGTACTGCACTCAGCTGATGCAAAGCTGGCCAGCTGCCCAATAGGTCTTGCCTTCAATTTGTGCCAGGCCAGACAAATCATAACTAGCAAGGTTAATATTCACAAGCATGCTTCTCCTCTGAAAAGACATGTATGCGCAGAGCCAACACTCAGCAGGAGTAAAACTCTCAGGGTTAGCTAGGGATCTAGAAGGAACCAAGAGAAATCCCAGTAAGCTGCTGGAGACAGCTCTCCTGCTGCACTCCCTGGCCAGCTGGGGCTGCAACCTTTCACCTATCAGCCTGGAAAAGCAAAGCTCACGGCAGACTCCTCAACGATCCTTCTCAGAAATCTGACGACTGATTGGGTCTAGAGCAGAAGAAAAAGGAGCATCCCGAGACTTCTTGGAAGAAGATTCTGGTGGGCTGCCATCAGGCATTGCACAGAACATGGCTCACCAAGGAATAAGCTGCCTCCTTTGAGCTCTCCAACGCCTCCAGACCTCTACATCCAAACACGACCTTTTAACCTCTCTTCCCCATCCAAGCCCTTTGCTCCTTGACAGCCAAATCCACCAGCATCTCATTGCCCTTCTCTGTGGTCACTGAAGTTGCCTTCCACCTGCAAAATTAAATATCAGTAAATGGTCATTTAGGTGTAATTTGACAATAAAATACAACAAACTAAGAAACTAAATGTACTGATGAAACAGGCAGTTAGTTTAATTCAAAACCTGAGTGAAAATATCAAACTCCTACTCAGAGAGCACATGGTTGACAGGAGAAAAAATCCTGACAAGTTCCATTTGCATGTTGTCTAGCAGAAGAGGAGACCCAGCACATCAAGAGTCATTTACTAAAATTTAATTTTTCAGGAAGTGTGCTCTCCACATTTATTGTTGGTTTGTTTTTTTTTCCCAATAAAACATAATTTTTTTTTTTAAAACAAGAAAATCAAGAACCTGTGAGCTGAGATGGTCAAAAAAAAGAAACAGCAATATCTTATTTAAAAAATAAGGATCAATGTTTTATTTTAAAGAACATTTATTGAACTTATGATTTATTTTTAGCATATGATGCACTTTCCTGTTAAGTATGCCTTCCTGTTATAGTATATATATATTTTACCAAATATAATGTTAAATTAACACAAGCATCAATTTTGTATTTAAATGATACTTAACGGTTGTAATATAGCTCACTTTCTTTTGGTTTTCTAATAAACTATTAGAAATTCTTACATTGACAACCAAAATTCACTTAATTGAAGCTCAGCTTCAGCAGAATTGGTCTTTAGCAGATTTCTGTAAATGGTCCAAGTATATTTGCACTAGGAATGTATCCTCCTGCTGCCACACTAGAGATAAGAAGGGACTTTCAGACTCCCAAAACAAGCAGAAACACTCAACCGAATCTCTCTGAACCCACTATTTTTCCATTCATGCTTATAATTTAGTAAAATATCATCTTTTTTTCACCATCAGTTGCCATTTTTTCCATGCAGTGTCTTTATGTATGAATGCCTATGGCCAAAATTTGTCATAAGCTTTTGTTCTAATTCCTTGTTCGATTAACAAATTATGACTTAAGCTTCAGCACACACAAAACCAAACTATTTAAATTTTAAAAGTGTATCCATAGAAACCTTTTAGCACATATTGAGAGAAATATAATTAAAAAACTGTCACTGGAAATAACTGTGATTTCCTTATTTTCATTTTCCTGGAAGAATTTGAAATTGCAATTGTGCAGTTCATACCTAACAGTAATTTATATGAGATAAAAAACATTTTAAGTTTCTTTCAGCTGCACAATAAAGAATTAACCACCTTGTGGGGACATGCTTCATTACTTTCTCATCTTCAAGCTGACAAAATTAAATCTCCCTTGTAATTCTTAAAGTCTTGACAGACTCAGTGCAGTATACGAAAGCTTACACAAATCTCAGGACTAAATAATAATGCAGCTACCACATGTATTATGTAATACAGGAACTAAACAATTAGTTGAAAACAAATAACTTTCCAATTTTCCATTAGCGTGTATACACTTCAGCATTATCTGTTACAAATGATACACTATCATAATGATGCATTATCAAAGTTCAAAGCTGGAGTATATCTCTTGGAACTGGAGACACTACTAATGGGGTATTATTAATGTCTTGAAAATAATCGTGTGTGGTGGATGGTTCTGCTTTAACTGTGCAGTTAAAAACAATTACGGGAAACATTTTGATACTTCTGTGATTTGAGTCCAGAATAAAAAACATACCCATTTCAAAAGTCTGTTTTCTCAATTGAAAAAAGGATCTAATGTATTGTTAATATAATACCTGTATATACTGCTGTACCAAGATTTATCATTTTAGCTAAGATAATCTTAGAAAACAACACTAATTTGTCATCATTATCATGCAAGCTCTGCAGGTGACTCTAAGTGCTATTGTGCATTTTACTTGAATCTTAAGCAGCAACCTTGCAATTTTATTTTATTTTTATAACCCTAAAGAAAAAGTTCTGTGTGTTTTATCTGAAGCCATGATCAAACTTGCTTTTGCCTCTCATCCAGCAGTCCACTACGATTTACTGAGAAACTTCTGCAGAAGCTACAGCAAGTCACACTCTCCACTACTATCTTCACCAAGCCAAGCAGCTCATTTCTCCTCCCTATCTAGAAAGTGTAAGGGATGGGCATTTTGTATTACAGCAAGAAGGTGACACAACCACATGTTCCCTAGCTGGTGGCTGTGCAGGCGGCATGACAAACTCTCTGGGAAGAGCATGACCTCGAGGTGGCCAAGCCCAGCCAAAACCTTAGCAGTAAATTTCCAAGCCTTGTGGCAAGCACTTGCTGAACCTCTGCAGTAAACCTATCTTGTCCCTGTTCTCACAGCCAGTAGCACATCTTTCCAGGGGTATTTTTCTTCAGTGTCAATTCCCTACCCAAGTTTAAAAAAGCAGAGATGACAGGGTTAGTAAGATCTTTTAAAGGGCAAAAACGAACAACTATTTATCTTTCTTTGTGTGAACTACATTGCAACCTTAGCTAGAGACATGCAAGAAATCTTTCATTACCAAACTTTTAGGGTAATTTTCTTCTTAGCTTTGATTTTAGTTTTTGTCATAAGATTTAATTTCTTTGGGCTGCCTTAATCACTAAAACAAAAGGTCTAAGCAACAATTCCAGTGCTTAAAGCTGCTTTTTAAAGGTTTGCTTACCTGAGTCAAATTTTACCTTACTCATATAGCAAATCAGAGTCGGTTAAAGTACGGAACCTATAGAAAAAGATAGTGTACCATGACTTCTTCATCTGATAGCTGTCTCTCTAGAATTTAAAATGAAAATGTCTAGTCTGCATAAAACAAAGTTATTTTCAAGGTAGTTAAGAAAAAAAATCTCTATTTTTAATAAGTTTCTACTTGAATTGGAAGGGGGAGGGTCGTGGTATTTTATATGTGTGTGTGTGTGCATGAAACTCCAGCACATACACATGGATAGTTTATACATCATGGACAAACTGGAATGAGTTCATGTTATAGTACAGCAAGACTGCCTCCACATGTGCTCCAAGTGAGATACTGGATGGATTTTTCAGGAAATTCAAAGCGGCAACAAAGGAATTTCACTTATTTCACTCCTGTCAATCTGAGGAAGGTTGGGGGGGGGGAGGGTAATTTTCTTGTAAAGATGGCCAGTTTTATTAAAATAGAAGAACTGACTTCCTCTAGTTTTGTGCCATAACAGGGAACCAATCATAACCATTTATCTGTAGGAAGATTAAGTTATCTCCTATCCAAAGAAAAGAGCTTATTGCAGAGACCTCCAGGTGAGCTGCCCTGTGCATAGCATGCTGCTATGCAGAGACACCAGCTCACTTTCATCAGTGACCACTGGGGCGGCTCTCCAAGGCAGCCCCATCCTCCACAACCCTTGCTGCACTTTCAGTTCCAAAGGCAGCACACAGCAAAGCTGTCTCTTGTGCTTTGATACCAGTTATGCCCTGATGTAACTATAAATTGGGAAGATAACAACAGCTCTAAACTCAGTCTCAAATTTTCATTGCACATCTTAGTGCTTAATTTCCCTATTCCTTTGCTTTTGAGCTTGTGGCTGTCAAGCTGGCTTACTCATCTTCTTCTGTATCAAAATAAAAGCATGGCTAGTTTGAAAGGGCTGACACAAAATCCTGTAAACTGAATGAAAGGAAGCAAAACAAACAAACAAAAAATGCTGCCTCAGCATAATTTTCTCTATAGCATGAGAAAGATGTCACTTTTTGACAGCGATTCTCAGATTTTTAAATTCTCTTTATTGGTTTGTGTTACTGTCATTGCTGAAATGTGAATACAAGATTGAGTTTTCTTACTGAGATCTATTCAAAACTTTACTAATAGCTTAACAAATATATAAAAATCTCAGCTGCATGGAGGCAGACATCCTAAAAGGTATCTTCTCAATCAGGGAAGAGTTCACAGAGCTGCCAGAGGGCATTATATTCACGCTAGAATACAACAAACGCATTTGAAAAGTACTGGCACAGGCACTAACTCTGCTGGTTCTGCCCTTCTAAGAGAAAGGCAGATAGGGAAATTTATTTTTCTTAGTAGTAAGTTATGATTTGACTATCACAAGGAGCTCATTTGTTGAATTACCTTAAAATCATCACATTTCAGAGTAGAACCACACTTTAAATATGGGGAATGTTATTTGCTGTATATGTATTATGTTATTAAGTATAATTAAAGTTGAAAGCCACAGAACCACACTCAATGCTACTGCAAGACTATAGAAATTTCTGTGGCCAGCACAATAAAGTACCATATGCTGAGGATGCCAACAGCCAAGTAATACATATAGTAGCCTAAACTAAAGCATGCTGTGGGCCAGTATCTGTGCAAATGTTCCAGAAATAAGTAATGAATAAGTATTACAAGAAACAACTATGCCACTGCAAACATCATCATTTCTAGATATGCAGACTGCCAAAAACAAAACATAAGCCTTGAAGAACAAAAATTCTTTTTATGAGTGCAAAATTCTACAGTATTTCAATGTTTGAGGTATCTCAAAGATATCATATCTAGCTAAAGTATTTCACCTTTTGACTTTTCTAGAAGACTTGCTGTGACTTTTTCAGGCACTAAAGTCACACAGAATATTCTATGTTCCCTTTGTACACTTCAGAAGTAGACAACAAAAGCTTTTTTTTTTCCCCTTACATTATGTTTTATTCATAACCATTGAAAAGAAAAATTGAAACTATGGTGAGAGCCACTCTTTAGACTTGTCTCTATTAGAAAATTGAATCAAAACTGGAAATAGTTTCAGACATAGACACCCGGGACCAGCACTGAAAATAGAGCAAGAACTAATGCAGATCTGGAAAAGGCAGTTCCAGTACAGTTTAAAAAATGAGACTGAAATGAGATCTGATTTGCACCAGGGTTACCACTGGAATTGTTCACTGGTGAAAGAGGAGAGGGCTACTCTGACAACAAAGAAAATGGACTCCAGAAGAGCCACAGTTTACAATACGCATCCTCTTCCCAGCAGATCTGGATGCTGAACACCTTCAAAGGAGTGAACTCCCCCAGGAAAGGCCACCACTGGCAAAGGTGCTGTGAACATGATCCACAGTGGCTCCCCCTCAACCAGAGGCATCTGGACTGATGCTCTGGGATGTTTCTCAGCTAAAACCGTTTTTCAGTCTGTACTGAAACAATCCCATTTATTGACCTACATAGCATTGAAATTATGACAGTCAGAGCCTGATTCTGTTACAGATTCTGTCTGATTCTGACTGTTCTTTCTCATACTTTGTAAAAATGCCCACTAGGAGAGGATACAAGAGCCATGTTTCCAGCCAGTAATACATAGATTGCATTATCAGTCTGCACCAAACTGTGGCTCTTTTCAGTCTTATACATTCATAGGTAGCCATGAGAAATAAATCATACATTAGAGAAGCATTACCATTTCATCAGCTTGCATCTGTAGCCAGACTGTTCTCCAGGTATGTGGAGCACAAAACTGAAGTTCTTCCTAAGCAAAGAACCAAAGAGATAATGAATCAAGACACACTCTCTAAAGAAATTGCTATTTGACCAGTTCCCATTCCTTTAGCTCTGCAAGAATTCAACTAATGTAATTTTGAGAAGAAATTGTGGTATTTTTCCTCAGAGAAGAAGAGGTCTAGCTGAAGTGATAACAGGGGCTACAAAGGTGGAAGAACTTCAACAGAGATAGACCTCTGACCATGGAAAAATATAATGGTTATGAGATGTTTAGGCAATTTATCACCATTTATACTGCACTACTGGTATAAATTTATATGTGAATATACCAGTGCTATGGTAAGGGGAGCTACAGAAAAATCTGTCTATAAATAAAAGTGAATTACATTTAAAATAAAACTTTCACCTACCATCCTTCTTCCTGTAGATTACATTAAACAACATTTACCAGTGAATTTATCAGCAGGGTTCTTTCCAAAAGAGGAGGCACCCTGCTCTATTTTTTACCATGTGTGGGCAGAGAAAAAAATAATTCACATTCCTTTAAATACCACAGAACAAAACAGATTAAAAACCAAAATGAGCTAATATTTAGATAAATACTATTGCAATTATGTCACACAGTTTTTTATATCAGATGAATTGTAGCCTCAGAATGTTAATAAAAACCGTAATGTCTTCATCCACAGTTCACTGTTTAAAACAACGACAACTCATAACAGGAGTCCAAAGTATTTTACACATACTACTTATCCACTTAAAAAGGGGGCAGAGGAGTTAAAGACAGCAAGGAAAGCAACAGGGGCCTGATCCTGTTCCCATCAAAGAAAATGGGAAGTTTACCATTAACTACAAAGTCTAGATTGTGCCTTTGGTTTGCTGGCAGAATTGCAGGTGTATTTTGCATTTTCTTTTGTGGCTAAAACACAGTAATTTGCTGCCCTCTAGAAGCAGACTATGGCACATACTTTGGTTTTCTTCAATACAAGCCTGTTCCCAGCTGCATTTTTTTAAATGTACGTAACAACAACGCAGAGCAATTTTGAAAAACTAGAGTGATGTAATGATCTATGAGATTCTCTAAATACACAGACATTCGATAACATGATTGGTCATTCTGGCAGATAAATGGAATGGGGTCATGTATTTCTCCTGGGATTATCATAGTTAACTTCCAAGAAGAAATTAACTGAGATCATTCCATTACCCTGCTTAATAAAACTGAAAATTAGCAAAAGAGGGTCATGACTGCATTTTCTGAAGTACAGCCCTCACCACACTGATACAGTTCACAGAGAGGATCAGAGATTCATCAGGTCATGCTAAAAAATCACAAAATAAGTCAGCAAGTTTCAATTATATGGAATGTTTTAACAGTTAAATTTTTTATTGCCCCCAAAAGTAGTAGCAATCTCATTTATTAATAATGACTATTTTCTTATCAAGTTCTTAGAAATTTTTGTTCAATTCTACTTTGGTTTTATTAGTGCAGAATAAAAAAGTCTAAAAAGTGCTGGGAAGTGTCTTGTTTCCCCCAACTCTAGAATGATCTAGAAATGGCTGCTGAAATCTCCTTCAAATAAAAAAAAAAAAGACAACCCTCAAACCTTCCAACCTCAGCTCCCAGCAGAACTCAAAGAATCTAGGTGTAAAAGCAATGAATAAGATTTGAATGTAATCCACCATTCAATTATCATCACATAATGCAATTAGATCATGAGTATACAATTTGGTTTTTTTCACTACCACCACTAGTGGATTCTCTGAGTGAAATACCTGAAAGTAGGAATATTTTTCTAGTACAATCCCACAAACTGCCAAGTGCCATTTACGTAGCTCTCACATCATGCTCATTACTACATTATATTCCCCAAAACAAACCAAGGACTTTCAGACCAAGTCTTGAACAGCTGAAAGGTCCTTGATTTACCTTAGATCAGACTAATACTATCAGAAAAAATGCACTAAGCTACAAAAATCTGATGTATTCATATTTACCAGCCTTTTTTTTTTTTTAATCTTATCTTGTTTCTTTTCACAATACTTTGACAACAAAGACAAGAAGGATGGACTTGCAACTTTAAATCTGAATTCAGGTATTAATGAGAATCAAAGTGAATGAGATTGCTGTGCCATATATATCATTTTAGAGACTCCAAATTCTCCAAATTTAGATTCTGGTTGGTGAAATATATTTCTGATGTCTCATTTAAATGTCAAAAGTTAGGTAAAATGAATCTGTAGCTGTTTGCATCTTGTAATAAACATTAATTTATCAGCAATGCTAATGTTGCACACTTTCCAGAATGAGTCTGAATATTTTTCCTTTGAAAAGTGCAAATCAAAGATTTGAGAACTTATTTCAAGTACATTCTCCTCATAACTACATCTATGCTATTTTGGCTTCTAATTGACTTATCTAAAATCAAAGCTTGTTTTAAACTGAGGTACATGGCAAGGTCAAGACCAAGGATGCAAAGATCTAAACAAGTTTTCCATGAATAAAAAATAGTTGTACAGTCTCCAAAGAAGAAAACAAAGATAAGAGTGTAATCACTTTATTTGAGTCAACTGCAAGGTCAGTAAATATGTATACTCCGACACTAAGATACAAGCAGAGGGTGTGTCATGCACATGTCAAGCCCTAAGCATACCAATCAAGACTGGCATAAGCTTATCTGTTTTACATACCCTTAAAGGATGTCAACCCAGGTACTCAGAAAATCTCAGCTTGCTGGCTGTGGAGTCTTCAGCTAAATAAAGCATGGAGTGGATGCCACCAAGTGGTAGCTGTTATCACATTACAATATCTTCAGCCTGACCACGCTTTAGGCTGCCACTTCAGCTGCAGAAAATATTCCTGGTAGAGCAGTTAGTTGGGAACAGAATTCTACTGCTATAAAAAGGGGGAAACAATTCACTAAAGATAAAATTCAGATGCTACTGCTAATGACAGAACTGCCATGGATTTAAATGACACCAGTATCAACTTCCTTTTGAAGCCTTATAAAACACTGATAATCTTCTCAGTGTAAATCCAAGGTTGTCTGAAAGCCCAGATCTGTATAGACAAGAAACATGCAAGAGAGACCCTAGGTGCACCTAGAAGAGACCCTCTGACTATAACTGATTATTTGGGTATATCTACACTGCTAAACGTTACAGGGCCATGAGACAAAACCAAATATTGCTTAATTGTTTTATCACTCCTCTACTCTGGCCAGTTCCAAATGGTTCTCTTTCAGACAAAGTACAGGCACAGTGCTGGGAAAAATTTACTCCAGGGAGCAATCACAGCAGTCAGTTGGTTGAAACTGCACCAGGTTTGCTGTGTCTGCTCCGCAATTGACTCTCTCCATTCCCTACCATCCTTCAATATTATTGCAGCAAATTTTGCCCTTCAAATATCTCATAAACCACATCCTAGTACATATATAGCCTCAGTTCCATGCTATAAAAACACTCAGGAGGGCTATTTCATGCCTTTGCATTATTTCAGCCGCAGTGGCGCCACAAGAGACCCAGAGGAGACATCCACGCATAGAGTACAGATGCAGCCAGCCTGCTCTACTACCAGTACTGAGCTAGTAATTACATAAGATGACCCCTGCCACTTACTGTTGAGATCCCTGGGAAGCAGTTGCTTATATGGAATCATAGAATCACCTAGGGTGGAAAACACCCTTAAGATCATCAAGTCCAACCGTTACCCCAGGACTGCCAAGTCCACCACTAAACCATGTCACTAAGGGCCCCATCTACACTGTTTCTGAACATTTCTGGGGACAGTGATTCCACCACTTCCTTGGGAAGGCTGTTCCAATGCCTGACCACCCTTTCAGTGAAGAGGTTTTCTCTACTATGCAGTCTAAACCTCCCCTGGCACAGCTTGAGGCCATTACCTATAAGAAGCAATTTAGAAACACGCCTTGTCTACATTGTCATTCTTGAAGAGTACTATAGACATTCTTCAAGAATCCTGCCACAAATGACTGTATGAGTCTAGCATAGAAGACATGAAGAAACGTCCATCAAAGGTATCACACCTGGTACGTGTTGCAGATGCCTGGTCCAAACACGAGCTCCATCCATCTCACCACTATTGCAACCTCCCTTCAGTTGTAAAGGATCTAGGAGAAATCCCTTGCCTGCTGAATGGCAAAACAAAGAATTCTTTACTCTCCAAGCTACTTCTCAGGCAGCAAAATGAATTGACACCAGTTTTGTATTTATTTTAATAAACATGGAACTGAAAAAGAAAAATTCTGACTTGCTTGTTCCTGTTGACTAGAATTCATTTCAATAATAAAATATGTCTGGAAAATAACTATTTACTAATCAAAATTATGTACTATGTTAATAATGCAAGCGTCTATTTAATTAATGTGTGTATTATCACAGTTATCTGAAAGCAAAAGGCAGATTAGATTGCTTCTGGCACTAGCCTGAGGGGAATGGCAAGACAGCCTGGCTTCATTGCCTACCTTCATCAGTCAGAGCCCTGGAAAGCCAAGTGAGCTGCTTCAGTGCTACTGCCACTGAGGAAGTGAGGGATGGTGCAGAAGAATGGACAGCAGGCCCACTCTCCAAAGCTGCCTTTCCTCACTTTCCTCATTTATACACTGATTTCAAATAAATCTTTTGCTTCTTACTAAATATTCCCATGGAGAAGTTCAATAATAGTCTCCTTGCAAGAGTCCCCTCTGCCCTGGCTTTCCAGCAACACAAGTAGATAGGCATGGGTTCTTCAACAATGTTCATAATGCGCCTAGATGGCTCAGAACCTTGAGCAGGCTTTGGTAAAGCACTGTGACAGCCTAGTCTAGGATTTCTACAGTGCTACCAATAACAACTGGATCACCATTTATTGACGCTAACGAATAAGAACATTCAGAACAGTCTAGACCCCAAATCCAGGAAACAGATGTTTTCCGAAGCCTTCCCTGGCATATGAATCAGTACTCACTACACGTAACTGAGATCATGGTCTGCATCACAAGTGTGATTGCCTTCAATAGAGTATTAAACATCATAAAACAGTGTCAACACAGAACATCTTCATCTGTCAATATATGAGCTGTACGTCTTAATGATAAATCAGAAATAGTGTGGATTAGTGTCCTGGGTTCAGCAGTAGCAGTCATGTTTCTCCTCCTTGGTAGCTGGTGCAGTGCAGTGTTTTGACTTTCGGCTCGGGAACAGAGCTGATAGAGATGTTTTGGTTTGGTCAAGGACTTTGTGAGCCTCATGCTCTGCCAGGGAGGAGGGGAAGCTGGGAGGAAGCAGAGACAGGACACCTGACCCAAACTGACCAAAGAGGTATTCCATACCACAGCACGTCATGCCCAGGATGTAACTGGGAGTTAGCCGGAAGGGCTAGGAGACTGCAGGGTTGGAGGAGGTATCGGTCGGAGCTTGGTTGGGCTTGGGGGGCGAGTTATCGGTCAGTGGGTGGTGAGGTGTTGTATTCTGTTCCCTTGTTATTTCCTTTATCATTATTATCATTGGTGGTAGCAGTAGTGATTTGTGTTATACCTTAGTTACTAAACTGTTCTTATCTCAACCCGTGGGAGTTGCATTCTTTTGATTCTCCTCTCCGTCCCTCCGAGAGCAGGGGGAGGGCAAGAAAGGGGGGGAAGTGAGCGAACGAATTACCTGACTGGGTTTAAACCACGACAATTAGGTAGACTGGAGAAGCAATTCAAGGAGTAAGGTCCTACTACATAAATGAGAATTTGGGAAAAACGAGTCTGAAAGCGCATATGGTATAGAAAAGTGGCAGCAAGACCAAGACAAAAACTTCCTGACACATCACTGAAAACAGGAGACATCAAAGATAACTTGTATAGCAGCATGTTCCAGACATAATTTGCATTTCACCTTTGAACTCGGTTTGCATAAGTACAAACACAGGAGTATATATATTTACCCAAAGGTAAGCAAGGAAGCAAACAGAAGAACTTTTAGTTCATAAAAAAACAAAACACCACAAAGCCTGCATGCCTATACCGAACAAGATTAAAGATTTCTCTAGACCCGCATCCTACCTCTGACAGTGGCCAAACCTCTCTTAAAGAACTAAGAACACAACAGGCAAATGCATAAATCAAGAAGCTTCTACACTCTTAACGAATACTGACAAAATGGATGACAGAAGGTTATCCCAGCCTACGGGTATTAGCCTGAGGAAAAGATGTTTTACTGTTTTTCTAATTATGCTGTCATTATTTTCCCTAACAAACTAACTGATTTGTAATTAAGTGTCCTGGGTTCAGCAGTAGCAGTCATGTTTTTTTCCTTTGTGTTAGCTGGTGCAGTGCTGTGTTTTGACTTCTAGTTTTGAGAACAGCGTTGGTGAAGCCGATGTTTTCGGTTGTTGCTAAGTGATGTTTACCCTGACCAAGGACTCTGTGAGGCTCATGCTCTGCCAGGGAGGAGGGGAAGCTGTGAGGAAGCAGAGACGGGGCGCCTGACCCGGGCTAGCCGGGGAGGTATTCCATACCACAGCACGTCATGCCCGGGGTGGGGGGTAACTGGGAGTTACCCGGAAGGACAGGAGCTTCCGGGTGGAACTCGTTTTCTTGGCCGGTGGTATCGTATTCTCTTCCCTTGTTATTTTCCCTTATCATTGTTTTAGCTGATAGTAGCAGTGGTGATTTGTTGCTGGACTGTTCTTGTCTCAACCCGTAGGAGTTGCACTCTCTCGATCCTCCTCCCCGTTCCTCCGGGAGCGGGGAAGGGGAGAGCCCCGGTGCAGGGAGGGGGGGGGAGACGAACACGGACCTTGATTGTTGTCAGCTTGGCACCACTCACTGGGAGTGAGTGAACAAGTTACCTGACTGGGTTTAAACCACGACAGTTCTTTTTGGCGCCCAACGTGGGGCACGAAGGGTTGAGATAACGACAGATCTGACTGGATTGATAGTCACTCGTCACAATGCTGATTTATTGGCTCTCAAGGTTTTTCCTCTTGATCTCACAGTTTCAGTATACCATATCTTACGTCCATCCGGTATTGGCTGTATTAGTGTTTTTCAAGTGTGGGGCTTGGGCTAAGGTTTTTATCCCATTGTACTTTATGGTAATGACTTGTAATACAATAGAATCATTGATCATGAAACTGATCTGGCTTATGTTCCCAGTGTGGTCACCACCTTTATACTTTGGGAGGTATATGATGGAGGTGCTTAGCAATTACACATCTTTTTTCTCCTTCTCAGGTGCTCAACCTGGGAAGGAGACATCCTTTTACCCTCCTAGTCGTCCCCCCAGACCATTTACATTTGAGAGTTTCGAATTTTTTAAATGGCCTTTTAATGCTCTTGAGACTTGTTTGCTGATGGTGATGGGAATCACCATGCAAACACGCATACAGAGTGTGTTTTGCCCACTACTGATTTCAAGAGTTAAGCAGATTCAGGTTTGGGTCTTGTCTGGGGTCAAACGACGATGTAGGAGGACCGAGAGATTTTCCCAGAGGCTGGACAGCCATGAGTGGCAGGGTGTGTGGGATAGTATGGGCAAGTATCTAGGTCAGTGGGCCCCCCCAGTATTTTGGAATTTCACTACCGAACAACTGCAAAATCCAGAAGAATTAGTAAAACACTTAAATGAGGTGTGTGGTCATTCTGGCCATACCAGAGATGGACAAATCACGGCAACGTGCTGGGGCTTGGCCTATGCTTACAGGGCCTTGTTCAACACTATCCAGCACCTTCAAAAGGAAAAGAATGTCGGCGGATTTGAGGGCAAAGCGACAGTCGCTACTCAAACTTTGGCTGCAATGAACTGCGCAGCTACCCCAGTGGCAAGTACAGCAGCTGCTCAAACTTCAACTGCAACAGACAGCGCGGTTACCCCAGCTCCAAGCACGGTAGCTACACCACCCCCAGCAACAAGTACAGTCGCTACTCAAACCACAGTGATAATCACTGCAGCCAAACCAGAGGACCAATTCGTACCAATATCGGTTGCCCCTGTACGCAAGAGAACAAGCAAAAAGGAGGCAAAAAGGGTGAAGCGAGATGAAGAACCAATGAATTCACCACCCGGTCCAGAATCTGATCAGGAGTCATCCTCACATGACGAAGAAGAAGAAGAAGAGGTAACTTCTCGACCTCGGACCTCAACCGAGCTGCGGAATATGCGAAAAGATTTTACCCGTCAACCAGGGGAGCACATCATCACCTGGTTACTCCGATGCTGGGACAATGGGGCCGATGGTCACGAACTAGAAGGTACAGAAGCCAAGCAGCTGGGATCACTTGCTAGAGAAGGGGGAATTGACAAAGCAATTGCAAGAGAGAAAAAGTCCCTCAGCCTTTGGAGGAGGCTCTTGGCAGCTGTGAAAGAAAGGTTTCCGTACAAGGACGATGTTACGAGTCGTTCGGCCAAGTGGACTACTATAGACAAAGGCATCCAGTCTCTGAGGGAATCGGCCATCGTAGAGATGATCTATCACATCAAGCCGAATAACGGGGATACACCTATAGATCCAGATGAAGTTGAATGTACACGACCCATGTGGCGAAAACTTACACGGAATGCACCGTCATCATATGCCCATTCATTGGCAACAGTGACCTGGAATGACATAGTACCACTAACAGTGGATGAAATGGTTCATAAACTCCGAGAGTTCGAAGACAATCTCACTCCTTCCATCATCTCAGCTGTGAAAAAACTGTCCCAGGACCTCGACAAATTGAGGGACGATGTATCTGATTTATCCAGCTCCTCACGTGTACCAACACGCGTCTCAGCTATTAACAAAAGACGTCCTATTGTTCAAGAGAGGAGATACAGAAGGTATACGCCACAGGGTACCCTATGGTTTTACCTGCTGGATCACGGAGAAGACATGACAAAGTGGGATGGAAAACCTACTTCAGCTTTGGAGGAACGGGTGAGTGAACTGAAGAGGGGAGCAAGGGCCAAGACTGATCGTCCCATGAGAGCTACGGCTTCAGTTTCTGGTGAGCAGTTTCCCAGATGGAGTGGAAGAGCTGATTTTACTCCAGCTCCTGTGATAACGAAGAATAATCCCTTTCAACACGACTTAAGTGTCCAATGCTGTGACAACCATTAGAGGGGCCCTGCCTCCAGCCAGGTGGAGGTAGGGGACAATCGGATTTACTGGACTGTGTGGATC